GTTAAACAAATGTTTTCCATTAAACTTTCTAGAATTAATTCATTGGTCTTATAAGCAGCACCCATCCAGAACAATGTTTCCTACAGGAAAATCCTGTGCAAATATCACTTATCTCTGGTGTCACTCCTATATATTTGCCAGTTCCTGTTACTCAGCCTCTTTGAAAGAATCATCTACTTTTTTCCCTCTTCTACCCTAGATATAATGTATAATTTTTTCTTTTTCTTTTGGTTTTTCCCTTCTATAAATAAACACATACACTTAAAAGTGTGTATTTGTTAGAAAAAAAAAAAAGTTTTTCAATCAGCGTGATTTATGTGGAAGCAAAATAACGAAGAATTTCCTCAACAATGAATTATGAATCCTTTAATATTCTTGAGTTGCTGAGAAGGCATATAATCACAAAATCTAACTTCAAAATCACAGATCTCAGAAATCATCTCATCTAATTGGTTCATTTTTCTATGAAGAAATTGAGGATTAGAATTTACATTCTTGCAAAGTAAGATAAGTAGCAGTTGTCAGACTACAAAAAAAAAAAAAAAAAGGCTTTATAGTTTAAAAAGAAAATAAAACCTAACAAACAAAAAGCCGGGGGGAAATCTTAACGAAACTATGTAAACTTCAGCACATTATTTATCTTTTGGGGCCTCAGTTGCTTCAATTTTTACAATAGCATAATAAAACTTTTATAATTATTATCTACTAGAGTGTTGATTGTATTATAGCTCATATATCATTATTCGGGAAGATAACTTTGGCTTTATTCACTAAACAAATATCTAGTGAGCACCTAATGTATATGCTAGGCATTGCCTTTAGCAGATAGCAAAGGACTAGCAATATCTAAGGCTCTGAATAACTATTTGTTCCCTTATTTATATTTTTAATAAAATATCTGTTGAATTAGGCTCTGTACAAAGCAACGGAAATACAATGAGAGTTACAGCCTCTCATTTTAGCTGTTTACAATCTAGTGGGAGAGATTAAATTAACAGTATATAAAGTGCTAAAAACTGAAATGAACAAGGTGCTCTGATAAATATTAACAAGAAAGTCCACTTAATCTGAGAGAAGGAAACTTTTAAAAATCCTTGAAGATGAAAAAGCAGCAGCCATGCAAAAGCTAGAGAAAGATTCTACAGATGAAAAAATGCAGAGAAAAAATGCTTGACTTGTTGAAATTTCCAGTTGTTAAACTTCATTTCAATCAGAATTCTTTTCTTTCTACATTATCACACTGTGTAACAACAAAATCAAATTCTACAATTTTGTATGCTTGTCAATAAAGCAGAAGGCTAAGTAAACAGAGAATAAATACAAAGACTGCATAGTAGCAGGTGTTGGGAGGACCAAACAATGTGTGAAAATGAGTGGAATTAAACCTAGCTGGTGAGGAAAGCCAGATTATGAAATCTGGTCTTTATTTTGGAGGTAATGCAACACCACTGAAAGTTCTGAGCTTGGCAGACATGATGAAAGCTGTACTTTAAGGGAACTGTAATCTGTCACAAATATGTAAGAAATATTAAAGTAAAAAATAAGAAATTATTAAAATAAGTCTAGGCTTATGTTGAGAGTCTAATTACAGCAGCAGCTAAAATAGAAAACAATACTGTAGATATGCTACATCCCGACATGGCAAGAAGGGAAGATTAGAGATTGTGAGACAGTGAATTCAATAAATTTGATATAAATTGTTACATTGTTTATACAACGCAGTTATCTTTATTCTTTTTCCTAATATTGTCATACATGAACATTCTTTATCTTCTCTCCAAAAGGTTTTAAAATACTAAATGAGCAACTTAAGAGGTATAATTAAAAGATACAGTATGCATTAACACTCCTACTCTGTATTTAGATAAACAATACAGATTAAAGCCATCTTTGATTTGGAAATAAGTGCCAGCAAACGACAACCTTTGTACTGAAGATAATTAGTCAAAAAGGACTCTTCAAAAACCTACTGTACTTAAGAGGCAATATACTTTAGTAGTTACCACAAGGCTCTCAGGCTGTAATACCTGGGTTTAAATCTAGGCTCTATCATTAGCTGTCAAAATTGGAAAATTACTCAACCCAGTTTTCTGGTAAAATAAAGATAATGGTATCTACTACCTCATTTAGCTGATCACAGGATTGAATAAGTTAATGCACAAAATGTGCACAGAGGAGTAACCGGTATATAACAAGTACTCCAAATTTAGCTATTCTGTATCTTGTGCAAGACACAGGGGAAAAGATTGTGAAATAAATAAGAATCACCAGTTCTAGGAATTTATTACTTACGTAGCGAGGCAAAAGTAACTTATACAGTAACAATTGGAGAACAATTAAGTGTTGATACTAACCATTCGTACAGTAAAAGGCAAGAGATGAAAAAGATTAATGCAAACTTGTGCAACTAAGTGCTTCAAGGAAAAAGATTTTCCTAAGTCGTCATTAATTTTACTTTTTTTGTTCAGAAAACATCAGACAAGTAACAGTTGGAAGTGGGCAGCAGTAATTCCTTTAATCCCTAAACTCAAATGTAATTTTGTATTTGAGATTTAGGGTGTCTAGTTTTCATCTGCTTACCAAAGAACACTTACTAAATGACTCACAAAAAAGAGAAATTAAATTCGGCAGTACTGGGAACAGAAATTAGAAGGTACCAAATTCTACGCCAGTGATTCTAACACAAGTAAGTCTGGAGTTTCTGGTTTAATATTATACTATAATTATAACTTACAGTAACCATCACATTCGATTTTAATATTGTTTTACTGAAAGATTAGAAAGGTTCAAATTAGAAAAAATAAAGCTAAAAGGATTTAGTGCAGTCTGATACAATTCTGAAATATTTTCCTTCCAATTTTTCAGTTTTAAGAATATTCTATATTGTCCATTGATAAGTCATAAATCTATATGACTTAGCTGAAACTATATAGCAACTTAAAATTTCAATTCAATGTTTTTTGTTGTTGTTCTGACCACATAAAAGGATATTACCAAACCCTTCTGCAAAAGGCCTAAGGTAGTTCTTACCTTAAGATATCTAAACCCAGAGATTCAGATTTGAATTCAACATAAATTTAGGAGAATAACATATTAATGGATTATTTTATCTTTTACTTGATTGACTTACAAATTTAGATACTCAATAAATATATGCCAAATAAAGAGAACCTAGATCCAGAAGCACTGCAGCTGTGCTATCTGCATTCAAATTGGCTATATCCAAAGATTATAAAGAGGGTTAGGGGCGGCGGGGAGGAAGGTGAGAGGGAGTCGTGTAAAGTAGATCACATATATAGTCCCATCAGAGGAAATGTTATATTTTTTTAAATCCTTCATCAGAAAAAGCAATATACAATCACTATTAAATAAACATCTTCTTAGGTTAGTTTTTATAAAGGTCTTGAGAAAATATTTAAAATATTTTCCTTTTCAGTTTTCACTTTCTCCAAAGCATGCCCATTGTTCATTAATCTTGTCAAAATGAAACTGATTTTTAATATTTCACTTGACAGTATTTCAGGTTTTATATTAATATCTGACATCTTTTTAAAAACAAACTTCACACATTAACGACTATCATTAACAGATTTCCTAGAGATCATTCCTAAGACTCTAGCCTAGGGACTCTGGGGAAGGCACAAGCATAGCTCTCATTTTTCAAAAGGTCGAGGTCCATCCCCCACAACCCAGATTAAGAACCAGTTAAGAAATGGGCATCTAAATTTGTACAAATAGATGCTAAGAAACATGTTAAGGTATGGTTTTCATTCATTTTTGTGATCTACTTGGCCATGAGCCATTTTGTTAAAACACAATGTTTCTGACTAATTTTTTTAAAAAATTAAAAGAATATTCTTTAAATCCCTTTCCGGTGCTATTAAAATTTCTTACTGAGACTAGGTAACCAGCATAAAAATGTTATCTTTCTGAAAACCCAGGAACATTTTCCCAACTTGTGTTTCCCATTTTTAAGTTGATTTAATAAATTAGAGATGTCTTTTTTCTATTTGGTATTGTTAATAAGACACATGAATTTTTTTTGGCATTCTAGGTATTAATAAAACATCCAAATATAACTACTTAAGATTTTTTAATTTTCACAAAAAAAGAATATTTTAATAATACCCTATTAGACTACTGCAAATCAGCCTACGGTAAATAAAGCCTAGGTGCCCCATGGTTTGACCACCCAATTACTATAATTACGTGTAGAAATGCTGTATTCTTTACTATTTGCCTCCACAGACTTTCCAAATACCACCTGAACATACTGAAGCAAGAGACGTAGGCTGAGTGAGGTGGGGCCTCTGCCATTCGGTAACATGAACAGAGCAATGGATGGTAGTAGAAGTAAAGTTCAATCTGCACTGTTCTTCTGGACCTTCTCAGAGGCCTGACCAAGCTTTAAGCTTCGTGAACAAATTTCAGTTCTTCTATGTCTTCTTTCTCCAATCAAGAAGTATACATTTCCCCTATAATAGTTTCTTGGTAGTCTTAGGACCCTCCTAGTATACCTCACTCTGACCTTGGAGGTTCTAAAATCCAGAAAAACTTAAAGTTAAAATTTTCCCCAAATCTGAGTTTGTTTGGGACCTACAAGTTCCTGCGTATCCATATATAAAACTCAGACAATATGATCAAAAAACAACCACTGAAGAGAAACATCAAAGACAAACTAGGCACAAAAGTCTTTCATATAGAATGTAAGCTTCTTTTGCTCATTCTTTCATCCATTCAGTTAAACACTAGGTCCTACAGTGTGCCCAGCTGTGGGGATTCACAGGAAATAAAACACAGCTCCAATCCTCAAGAGATTTAGTCTATCAGGAAAATTTCAAATTTTTAAGGGTGATTAAAAGAACATGCAGAAATTTCAGCTTTGAGCATTACACGAATTCAAAAATTCAATACTGAAGATAGCTAAAGGCAAGTTCTGCCCATCCTGAGCATCTATAGTAATACTTCTGCAGTAACTGACATTAACAGCACAAAGAAACCAGATGGGAATAGTTTTTAATTTATCCTTTACTTAGGCTACTTATCGATTACATAGTACAATGATACTTCCAACTTAAAGAAGAAAAACAAAATCTGGCTTTAAATCTAAACAATATACTATTCTTATAGCAGACGAAAGAGATTTCCCTCTTTTATCATGTTTTATTTTAGGACATATCAATTTGTACTCATAAGATGCATGGCATTTAAAAAAACAAAGAATTTTTTCCTCCTGCTTCCAAAATTCTTTTCAGCCATCCTAGATGATCACGAGCAGAGTTAAAGGTAAATAGTTAACATGTACATCATCACATTTCCCAGTTGAATTTTTTTCCAAATGACATTTTGATAAATTAAAATCACAAACTAAATCCAGGATCAGCAAGTAGCTGGGAATTTAAGCTATGTAATTTGGCAACTTAACCTCGTAACTCAAACCTCGTAAAATCTATTAGAGGTTAAAAAAAAATCCTATTAATTTTAATTTATGATGGTGGAGATGTAGATTTATGTGGATATGTAATATATATGTGCATATATGTATATATGCACATATATATTTAATATATATATTGCCCACATTATAAATGTGGTTTTTTTCCCCCCACCTTTTTGGTCACCTCATCCAAGATCAAGCAAGAAGAAAACAGTAATTCAATTAAAAGTTAGGAAATGGGCATGGCACAGCTTTTTAAAAATTTCAACAGTATGTTTCCTTTATATGATGTTACAATACATACCCTTTAAAACTGTTACTTGAAGCCTTGACAGCACTTGACATTGCCCAAAACAGTTCAGAAAATATTGCAGATTGTGTAGACTACAGTAGATAACTTTGAAAAATGTTCTTCAAATTTTTAAAAGGCAAAGTAAATTTCTCTCCACCTGCTAAATTACTGGACTTTTTGCACAAGATTGTCATTTGAGTTTTCTAAGGGTTGTTTAAACATCTCTAAAATAAGCACTTTTTAAAACACTGTCATGAGATGCGTTTGTAAAATTATCCAGATCCAGATAAAAATGAGAAACTTGACAAGGGAAAACCTTGAACACTATTACTTCTTTTCCACCTGAAAAGTACACGTACAAGCTGAATATTTAACTCAGTAAAATGAGAATATTACCTGGTTTCTAAGGCACACCGTTTATAACATCTAAAGTGGGATTTATTTGATGAACTGCATTAAGCCCTCAGATATTTGCAGCAACTCAGGTAGAAAGAGGCAAGTATTCATGTTAATCTGTAGTCAAAAAAGATATTTCAACTAAAATATGTCAATCCTCGCATCTGAAATCACTTAGACATTACTGATGCAGTATTTGGAAGTTTCTGTATACAATGACATACAGTGATCAATGCTTTAGAGGGTTACTTAAACTCAGTACTCTTTTGTTCAAAATATCTCATTTCCACTATAAAGCTTGGTCTCCAGTTCCACTATCCAATGTCTGCCTTACATTATGTCGTATTTCATTAGTACCACATAAAGTGATTACGTTATAAAAGGCCTCTAGATCACTTGGTTCAAATGTAATAGCTGGTTTCATTAATGTTCCAGGAGCAAGAGAAGCCTCTCCAATAATTCTCAGGTTGATAAATTTGATTTTCCAAGTATTCTCCACAAAAGGGCAGCGGATGAGTCCAAAAATTTGTTCAAAAATGCCCAAACAAGTGTTTCCTCGGTGAACAGTCCCAGCAACTCCAATCATTACCAGACCATGGGGAGAAGAAGCACATTTCAGTCCACGGGAATCTAGGTTGGGACTGAGAAAAAGATATTCTTCTTTCACTAGTGACAGCAGACGAAGGCTCACAATTTCTGCTCCATGGTAGTCTATCACATTTTGTTCAGATGTGTTATAATAAAACCTAAGCTTGACATCATGCCAGAAGTGCTGTGGCCCCCATTCATCTTGAGGTGGTCCAAGAAAAGGATTCTGAGAATTAAGAAGTTCAAAGAACCAGTGACAGAATTCTTCTCCTAATCGTCGAAAATCAACTTTTTCAGCTTTTTTATCTTCTTTCTCCTGCTGGTTAAGATAAATAAATACAAAATAAAACCAAGATTAATTCTCATCTATTTTTCTAACCTGTTTCACAACAATGTTTTAATGTACTGATTATAGCAGAAGAGAAATGAACTATATGTAAACTCATTGAACCCATTATGCACAGTAAATTCTTTGTGTAAAAAGGAGAAAAATCATTTTAGAATTTCTCAGCTTAAGCAACTAAAAATTCAGCTAAGAAATTAAGGTTTAACAAAGCCTCTTAAAATAGCAGCATGAACAGTCAATAATTTACATAAGCATTTTCTCTTGATTGTGGCAATCGTTCACAGGTATGAAAAAAGGTCTGTCAAAGCCTTCAAACTGTATGCTTTAAATAAAAATACTTTGTGGCATATAAATCATAACACAGGAAGTTGACAATAATCATTTTTACTGTCTTCAAACATACTTCTAATATGATTGAAACAGGTTATTTACTATGACTGGATTAATTTTACACTATTATTTCTTTTATTTCAAAGAAAACGTTCTTGCAAAAATATACCTGATAGGCTAGATTTTTTATTCCAGAACATACTACCTTATTTACATGGTATCATATCTATATTTATGAGCACCTGCTATTGAATATATTGGGTACTGTGCTGCTTGGCACTTAAGTGCTATTTTCCTTCTGTCTTCACAAGCTTTATGACAGATATCATTATGCCCATTTTCTAAAGAAAACGGGTTCAAAAAGGTCAAGTTATCTGCGCAAGTCAACACCTAGTATAAGGCATACCCTAATTTGAAGTCACATCTATATGATTTCAAAGTCAATGTTTTTTTCAGGACATTAAGAAAGCCCTTGGAAGATCATTTCCTAATATGAAGGCAATATTACTGTAAAACACATTAATTCAAAGTATGTGGTATGTAGTTTAAAATGACCCAGAGGTTTATTCGATCAACATTTAAATTTTCATGACACTTAAAATGTGTAGTAGAGATAAAAAAAAAATTAGGAACAGACAATATCAACTGGAGGAAATTATTAAAACAATAGTTTCTAGATAAAAAATCAAATATAAAAAATACTTAAGTTTCTTTCATAGAACTTTTGCAATTTAACGCCAGAGAAAGTTTTCAAAATGAGAAAGGGCTTACAATAGCATTCTTTTAAAGTAGGAAAAAATTAGAGAACTAGATGCTAAGTTCAAATTAAACTGATCCTGCAGTCTATCTATTCTCTTTAAAAATCCTATAGTCTTCATTTGATAGAGGATAAATACCTTTGCCCCCCTTACAAATCAATAGAATATTTTTTATACTTTACTGAATGTCAGACATATCTCTTAGGTGCTTTACTGGTCTTCCTTTAAAAATGCAAAAGATATTAATTAAAGCTAAAATGATAAAAAACAAAATATTAACCATGTTACCAAAGACCTTGGATTATCTAAAGAGTTTGAGACAGAACTATGATTCAGTATATAAGATCTATTTTACCTGCTGAAAGAGTCTAATGTCCTCAGAGGTCTTAACTGGTTCTGGTGTTTCCTTCAATTTCAGCTGTAACTGCTTTCTCCAGTAATCTTTTGCATGCTGAATAAGACTGTGTTTTTCAGTAGCTGGAGGTATAATAACCCCCTGTGATGCCAAATACTTAAATATAACATCTCGGTGGACTTTTTTACGTTTCAGCAGTTCTTCTACACTTTGACTATATGCTAATATTGCACGAATAGCATCTAGAAGGAAATTGTAAAGATTAATAGAAAATCATGAGTCACTTAAAAATTTGTCTAGGGTCAGCAGAAACTATATCAATATTTATAAACTCTTTATCATGGTACTATTGCTTTTGCATGAGGTGGTTATCATTTTTTAAAAAACAGGAAGTGGGTTGTCAGGTTTGGGGTTTAAAAAAATATTGTTTCAAAATTCCCCACCGAATATTTTCTTTCTTTCACTTCTCATAAGATATAGTAACATTTCAGCATTTTCTTTTAAAGAATGGTGTGTTTTAAGAAAAAATTTGAGACAGAAAAAATTTGTGTTTTTTTGCTAATAAGGCCAATGGACCTAAATTCAGTTATAATCCCTAAAAATGGTTGTAAAATTACAATATTTTAGATGTGTAAGGACTTTTAGTTCAATATCCTCACTCTACAGATAATGAAACTTAAAGGTACATGAGGTATCAACAATCATACTTCTAAGAAGTGGCAGAACCCTGACTTGTATTTTTATTTTTCACATGTGTGAGGTATACAGAATAGCAATAAAATGAACTCCCTTGTACACACCATGCAGAAAATTAATATCTTTGAGGTGGTAATTTTACCCCTCCCTAGCTATTCCTTCTCTTCCCACCCACCTCAAGGTAGCTATTATCCTAAATGTTACCATTCCTTTGCTTTTGTTTATAGTTGTACAGCATAACTATATATCACTAAACAATATAGTTTGGTATTTTTGAACACTCTAAAAATTCACTCCGTCAATATATATAGTCTTCTGTAATCAGTTTTTCACTCAACGTTGTTTCTGAGATCTACATGAGTATATGTAGCTCTAGTTGATTCATTTTCACTGCTGTACCATAGTTAATTATATGATTACATCGCAAGCTTATCCATCCTGTTTACAGGCTTTTACTGTGTGTGTCTAATTACAAACACTATTATTCTAATGCATGTCTCCCATTACACTACTACACAGAGGGTTAAGCAGCGTAAGCATTACATTGGGAGCTTGTTAAAAATATGTAATTTCTGCACCCTTCCCCGCAAAACAGCAACAACAACAAAACTACTGAATCAGAATCTTCATTTTAACAAGATCTTGAGGGATTCATAGGCACATTCAAGTGTGAGAAGCTCAGGTCTAGAATATGTGCGTAGAAGTAACTAAATCTTCCATTTTAGGAGATAATGTCAAACTTGTTTTCAAAGTGGGTAGTTCTAATTTACACTACTGCAGTAACTGTCAACAAATTTTTTTCACATGGTCACCAAAACTTGACGTTTATATATTAAGTTTTTTTTTATCTATCTGGTACACGGAAAAGACTGTGTGTTTCGGTTTTTGTGTTTCGGTTTTCATTTCACTACTTTCTAAAGAGGTTATCTTTTCATGTTTATTGATTTATTTTTTTCCCTCTGAGAAACACCACTTCAAATCATTTAACATATATGTACTGGGGAAGTTTCTTTTTCTTATTTGCTTTTAGAAACATCAATTAAATCCAGCATTTTGATCTAATACAATTTTAAATTCAGTAACCCTGACTTTAGAGGTGATTACCATGTAAAATACATGAATTCTGAAGAACTACATTAAATCTAAAACCAGTCTAAATTCTTAGGAATTTCTTCTAATGCTCATGGTTCGAAGTTTCAAATGATTTTCTTAAATGGTAAAAATATAAATTTGACTTAAGTAGATAGTTTTAAAAAGCAGAATCTTTTGTAGAAAAGTCATACGCTAACATAGGGTGCTGGAATTTTCACATTTTAGAGTAAAATTCAGCGAGTTTAAACTAGTAGGTGATATAAAAAATGGAATAAACGCTTAAGTTACTCATTACATTTTTATACGGACTCATTACAACCAGGCTGAATATTAATAATCCTCGTAATTTATTCTACCGAAATGTTTGTTTGGCTCTGAAGAAATATATTCCTATAACACAATATCATCAAATCTCGATCTAAAAAAAAGAAACGGAACCAAACTATATTTTTATTACAGTTGTCGTTTTACCTAGGAGACTGACACAAAAATGCTTATATCTCCTCTAAGCTTGAAGAAAAAAGCCTGAGCAGCAAACACTCCTCAGCTGATCGAAACAAAATGGAAAACACCCTGGCACCCTAGACATTTTTCTTTTTGGCCAGTTTTCTTAAAACGACTATTCACGTACTCTGATTCCTCGAAACAAGCATTTGTCAATAACATTACATGGATAAAACCTGGAAGCAGCGCTGTTTTCAGCAATCACCGCCTTCAGGTGCAGGGAGCAGCGGGGCAGTCCGAGGCTGCGTCGCGGCCCCAAGGCACCGGCGAGGGCCGAGATTCCCCAGCGTTCCGGGAGGGACTGAGAGCGAAGCCTCGAAGCTCCTCAGCTCCCACAGCCTGGGGCGTAGGTGAGGCCTGGGGAGGCGCGGCCGCCTTTGGGGAGAAGGGTCTATCCTTACCTTGGCGGTTCTCAGGCTGCACCAAACGGTTGGTAATGGTGTCGCATAGGGCTATGATCTCGCCGTTGTCTAGTAGGCCGAGCAGGTTACGACAGCCTTCTCTCTCTGGGTGGCTAAGGCCCGACATCTCGACCCCCAGAAAAGGGGGAGAGGACGACGCCAATAATGTCGCTCCTTTAGGCCCAAGGGGCCGGCGCCTTGGCAACAGGCACCGGAAGTGCTTTTCCTGTTCTTCGCCACCAAAGAGCCTTGGGTATTCCAGACCGCTGGGCGGAAGTGGTCGCCAATGAGGTCAATCAGGAAATGCGGTGTTCCATTTTGCCGTTCCGGGCAGGCCAGGATGGGGTGGAGTCCCACAGATCTCACTTTAGAGAGAAGGACCGCGTTTACACGGATAACATAGACCATCCACAAGGGAGTTGGTAGCAGGAAGCGAAACCTTGAACTCTTCGGGAGTCCCGCCTCCAAAAGAACACCTGGGAGAGCTGCGCAATTGCAGGTGCGTGGAAAGCGGGCGCCGGCCCCCAGGCGATGGCGAGCTCCCGTGATGCCGCGGGGCCGGCCAATGGAGGCCCGTCCGTCCCTCCTGCCGGCACGGCCCCCGGAACCACGTGAAAGTCTTTGGCCATTTCTGAGCTGGGTGTGCTTATAGTTTGATATTCTTAAATTACATATAACTTACTTAAAATAATTTGGTTTCACCTGTCCTACGTCAAGCCTGCCCGCCTCTCAGCTGACTTTCAAAGATAGGCTATTGCTTCCATTCCTGTCCTCGCGAGCTTGGTCGTAGGCGGGCCGGTATCGGGTAGTAGTTTAAAGTTGGAGACTCCGGAAGCCGGATTATCTGAGTTTCACTACTCCATTTACTAACGGTGCGGTGGGGCAAGCTCTTTAGCCTTTTTGTCCCTCAGTTTCCTATCTCGAAATGGATCTAGTAGAGATGCCTACCTCATAGGGTTGTTGGTGAAGGGTGGGGAGATGAAGAACAATCCCTGGCCCAAGAAAGAGTTTAGTAAATATTAGCTGTTATTATTACTAATAGTATGACAGCAACACACATTCACGAGAGGGAAACAGTCATGCTCTGCTGGACCAAGCCCGGATGAGGAATCATACTTAAAGCGCTTGCCTCTATATCCTTTCATTTTTTTAGCCGGTTTGGTAATATTTAATTAGGATGTTGCCAGTAGCTGAAATGTATACATCTGTATATCCGGTTAGCAAATTTAACATTAAAAAAAAATTAGCCATAAAATATGCTGTAAATATAGTATTTAAAACAGGCATTCAAAGCATGGTTAATATAATTTGCCAGTGGAGATTATTTGGGGTATTTTACTAAACAGATATCAATTCTACATTTTTCATTAAGCATTAAGTGCTTACTACGCTAGGTATTGAAGATTGAGAGAAATGGCAGACTTTCTTCAAGAAGCTCTTGGGAGTTTGGCAAGTAAAGAGATGACAAGTAAGTGCTCATAATGCTGGTGTGGGACTACATGGAAGGTATGCCCAACTTTTACATTCATTCTTTCAAAAAATGTAAGTACTTGCCAGGCTCTGTTCTTTATGCTGTGAACAAGTCAAGGCACTTGCATTCTAGTGGGAAGAAACAGACAAACTACTGTGTCGGGAAATGGAGGAAAATACATCAAAAGGAGGATGATGAGGAGGATGTTATTTTATACTACTGTCAAGAAAGTCTTCTCTAAGCAACATTGAAAGACCTGAAGAAAATGAGAGCATGAACCACAGAAGAAACCTAGGAAAAAGCAACAGTAGAGGTTATGAGGAAAGGATGGAGTGCTTGGCATGTAGGAAGGAGGTGGAGAGTCTGGAGGAGCTTATGCAAGGATGAGGCAATGAGCAATAAGATTAGAGTTGTAATCAAGATTGATCTAGAGCAGGGTTCCTGAACAAGAGCGCTATAAACATTTTGGACAGGATAATTCTTTGTTGTGGGGGCCGTCCTATGCATTGTAGGATGCCAGTAGCACCTCTTCCCCCAGTTGTATATACCAAAAATTTCTCCAATTTTCCACCATTTTCCTGGGTGGAAAAATCATCCCCAATTGAGAACCGCTGATATAGAAACACCTGTCCAAGTGCTTTCTGAGAGGATGAAAATGTTCTGTATCAGTGCTGTCCAGTACATCATCCACCAGCCACATGTGGCTATTGAGCTCTTGTGATGTGGTTGAGGAACTCAAATTTTATTTGAATTTTAATTAAATTTTAATAGCTGTGTGTGGCTGGTGGCTACCGTATTAATGTAGATCTAGAGCCTGGCAGGCCATTATGGACTTTGGCTTTTATCTTTTATCTCTGTCTTCATTTCCTGTTATTCTCTCTCCCACTGCAGACTAGTCACAGTGCTATTTGTTCCTTAAACTTGCCGTGTAGGTCCCTTTGCTTTTGCT